GGGCGAATCAAGTCGATGAAATCTGCTCCATGTATGCTGTCGCTCGTCCTCGAAATTCTAAAATTTGGTACTGGGGAGGAAAATGTATGAAACACGGTCGGTGCCTTCACCTTGTGGAATCACGCCGTACTTGACGATCGAGGACGGCACTCTCATCGCCAGGGTCCTGGCTAGGTTTCCTAGGCCGCGCTGCAAGGCGGAGGCTTGTTGCGGAAGAATCATAGCACAACTTGTCGTGTGCTTCGTGAACGACTTCGCGGAAAGGGCACGTTGCCAGCAGGGTCCCAGTGAAGGCCACTGGTGCGCATATCGTCCATTCCTCGTTGCATGTACCCTAGTGCTAGACCATAACACACCCATGTGATGCCGAACGTAGCGACCTTGACGTAGTGCATGCTCATGTTGGTATATGTGGTGTCGTGGTCGTCGTAGTTGTAGGCTGACGTGGCCGTCTGCTTTCGCATGGGTGTAGCGTTCATGTTGGCGTGTTGCGCATGGCCGCGCTGTGGTAAATTGCCACCCGAGGGGATGGAGTCGGATAGTGAATTGCCAATTGGTTGAAGGTGGATAGGAGCGTAGTGGCTTAGAGTCGTGGCATACACGTGTAGGCCAGCGTGGCCGTCCGTCGTTGCGACGCCACGTGTAGGCCAGCCTCCTGGATCTGGCCGGCGCAATTGGATGTAGCATCGCAACAGGAGTCCACCATGCTGTGCCGTGGGATAATGGAATTCGAATCAGAGCCAGCAACATAAAGATGAGGCCAGCTCCGCTACCAAATAACAAGTGTCATGGTAAGCCGTACAGTGCACTACATCTTAGAAGTGTTATATCATCCCAGGACGTGCCCATACCAGAAGTACCAACAGGTAAATGAGGGGCAAGACATGGTATGAGAGAGTGCATCGTCGAAGGATCTGGAATATTCCTTATCCATTACTCGGATGCGACTGTACACCGAGACCAGGGTAGTCGTATTACAGAGGCGCGCCGCTTGAGTTCAAGCGGCGTGCGGACGCAGGCGCGTCGCTCGAAGACTCGCCTTTGACCTCCGTTCAAAGTTAGACCCCTTTTTGGGGGACATGCTTTTCATCTTGAGTCGATGTCTGCTTCGAGACGAGGTGCCCCTGGACCTCTCGACCCCTTTCTGGGAGACTGGCTTTTCATCCCGAGCTGTTTTCTGACAGCCCTCGCGCCCGAAACAGGTTCCCAGAGTTTGAAAGCTGTGAAAAAGCATGGTCTCGAGTCTCGAGTTTTGCGAGTCGCCAGGGGCAAGCGGCCCAGAGGATCGAAAGCCTCCATTCTGGAATCCCAGCCCCCATTTGGGAGATCCGCCACCGCGCCCCTGTGGCACGAGGTGTGGAGTGTCCCCACTGTCTCTTGCTCAGCCCCTGAGCCTCAGTCTTCCGTCCCGAGCAGTCTCGCCGCGGCCCTGGCCCAGAATTCTCATAGATCCTGAGGCTTGGCGCGTGCCCCCTGGGCTCACCGGAGTGTTCCCGCAGGACCTTTTCGGGGCCAGCAAGAGGGGCCCAAGACAGGCCAAGATACCTCCAAGAGCCCGCCCAGACGGCCCAAGGATGCTCCGAATCGCTGAACGATCGGTCCAAAACGCTCAAGGTGGCTCCAAGATGGTCCAAGAAGGCTTCGAGACGCCCCAAGAGAGCTCCAAGAGCCTTCCCAGGAGGGCCCGGGGAGGTCAAAATCACTGATGTTCTTTAATTCGGTTTTTCATTTTGGGGGGGTTCTCGACCTATCGAGCTCCTTACGCTCCAAGACGTCCCAAGAGGCCTCCAATACCGCCTCAGAGGCTCCCAAGAGGGCCCCAAGACGGCCCAAGAGGGCCCCAAGACGGCCCAGGAGGCGCCCAACGTCCCAAGATTGCCCCAAGAAGACCCCAAGAGGGACCAAAGAGACGGAGCACGCGCCGAAAATCCGAGCCTCCGCCCCAAGAGGCACCCAGGAGGCTCTAAGAGGCCCCTAAGAGGCATTCAAGAGGTCCCAAAAGGCCTCCAAGAGGTCCAAAAGAGGTCCCAAAACAGCCCCCCAGAAACCTCAAAACTGCTCCAGGATGCCCTGGAGAGGACTCGACGAGATCCCAACGAACACCCAAGAGGCCTCAGACCCAAAACCCAGGCACGGTGGCGGGATGGGCCGGCATCCATGTTGGAAGTGTCCGAACTTCTGGGCTTAGCTGCCCCGATACGCAACGCGCAACACGTAGCGCGTTGACACCGAGCTCAACACGCAGTCTGAAAATATAGCTCTGGCGCGATGCGGACGCCGAAAAGTGGCCCAATACGTGCCGAGCCAACACGCAGCGTGCTCAGCCCAGAAGTTTTTAACGCGGTACGTGTTGCATCTCAAAACGGGCGTATCAGGGCTACGCTTCTGGGTTGTGAGCGGCGGACGGTGGCTTGACCAGTGTGGCCGCCAGCTGCGCGCCTGGTCGAGCGCGCTCGCGGGCTCGATGCTGACTGTGAGCGCCAGCAGCATGGAGGCCAGCGCACTGGCGCACCAGCGCAGGTGCCCCTCGTAGGAGGCAGAAGACCCTCACAAATAGGCACCCATTGCAGGAGAAGCCCTGCCGGCAGACGCGCCGAAGGAGATTGAAGGGAGGAGCCGAACAGGGCAGGCTTGTGAGGTGATCGCCCAGGACTTTGTTTGGCTAACGCCATCCAAGACGAGGCCAAGACCAGGACAAAACCGGACCAGGATGGGTCGGGGACCCTTGATATCCCGCAGTTCTGGAGGATGTGTCGGGCTCCGAGGCCTTCTCAGAGCGTCCCTGAGCGCTCTGGAACGATTCATCCCAATCCTGGCCCCGCCCGACCAGTGGTGGGGGGTCGGGGTTGTCTTTCCTCCCTTGGACCTCGGGCCCCCCTTGGGCGCCAGCGCCCTCGGCGGCGGCCGCGAACGCCTGGGGGCGGCAGCAGATCACGCAAGCGATCGCCGGGCTCGATGGGTCGAGGCCTCGCTGGAAGCTCTTCGCCACGGAGCCATCGTCGCCATGGCTGGGTTGGGTCTCCCTTGAAACTCTAGTGCGAACTCGCCAGGAAGAGGTCCAGGGGTCCATCTTGGAGGGGGACGGAGTCCTTCGGCGGATTGTTCTGATCAATCTCGGAGCGCTTCCCCGACCCGGGGCTCCAGGGGCCGTCTTCGGGCCCCGAGCGACCAAGAAATTCATCCAGGGCGGGAAGCTGCTCCCCAGTGAAGTGGTCGAGACCTCTGGGGCTGGCGGATTGGAAAAATCAATCCGCAAGAGATCTGGACAGTGACGCGGGCGATCGCCCAGATATCCTCGTGGGAGAGGCTGGGAACCCAATAACCTACGGCAGACACATGCGACAAGAGATCTTGCTACTAGAAGTATTGGGGCATATTGCTCGTCGAGCTTTGAGGGTCCTGAGGGTCCTTGGGGCCACCGGAGGCAAGGAATTTCCGTAGGGCACCTGCTGGCAGGCCGATTCTCCGTTGACGTGCCAACTGCGCCGCGGCCCTGTAAGGGCAAGACAACCTGGGGCGGCTCGGAGCTCCAGATCCTTCCCGTCCAAAGGCTTTCGCGGTTCCTCGAGCTCTTGGCATACTCTTGACCCCTTCCCCAGGGGCATGTCTCGTCCCGTTACCGTCGGCCCCCGACTACGAAAACGAAGAGAGAAACCTCCGTGCCGACTCTTCAAAACGACGGGCTCCCCGGGCACCACGAGCGCAGACCTCTCCAGCGGTGCGCTCCGGCCAGAACTTCGGGGCGGATGCGACCGTGGCCACGCAGGGCGGCCCAGGAGGCCTAGAAATGCCAAGAGACCCCCGACCCACGATTAGGTCGGGCGTGTCCCCCTACAGGCAATTTTGGGCAAGAAATAAAAATACCCCAAAATTAATCAAAAGTTGTTTAAAAACACTCAACACATCGCCCATACTATTTTTGGACTATTTTGGAATATTCCTCCTGTAATGGGACAGGCCCGACCTAAACCTACGATCCTGGAACCCCGATCCTCGGACGCCACTGGGCCTTCGCTAGGCGCTGGACAGCGCTGGCGCACGCTGCGCGGAGCGGCTGCGCGTCATCTCGGGGTCGCATCCTGGCCAGCTATTCGAGCCGCGCCTGGCCGCGGCAACGAGGAGCTCCGCCGAAGGCCCAGAAACTATGTGCCCGAGGCCCTCGAGGACAAGGCGAGCTTCAATTCTTCGCCGAGCTACAAGATGAGAAACGTCGCCATAAACATAAACCTTCGGAGGTGCACGGAATTCTTGGATCGGCGCTGGACCCCCTTCCTTCCTGGTGCGCGGGGCGCGCCAGGGGCGGCGCCGGAGGCGGCGCCAGGGGGGTCCCGCGGCGAGCCGTGCACAGGTCTCTTCTTCGCCGAGCGCTGGCGCCTGCTGCGCGGAGCGGCCGCGCTGCCGGCCGGAGCGGAGCTCCTCCGCCGCCGCGAGCCGCACGCGGCGGGCGAACTCGGCATCCGCACCTCGGCGGGGACCCGGGCGCTGGCGGACTCGGCCATGGAGGAATTGAAGCCACGTCGCAGCATCACGACGAGAGCTGAAGGCAGGACAGAAACTGGGAGCGATGACAACTGGTCGCTACAAGACGCGTGGGAGACCGGGCTCGAAGTTGATAACACCAAGAGGATCAAGATGAACAAAATGGAGGTCCGACCTCCATTCTCGAGGCATGGTTTCACCCATTCTGGAAGTCGACCTCCAGCATTATGGTTTTCGATCCTCTGGGAATTCATGGAGACATGGCCCGCTCCGGAAGCCCTGGAGGATGCCAAAAGATTGACGTCTCTCGGGGGAGAACATCTTGCCTCCGCTGGCCTTCCACCAGCGGAGACACCCTCGTTTTGCTTCCGCTGGCCTTCCGCCAGCCTTTCGCCGAGGATCGAGATGTCAACTCATTCGATCCGCGAAGAGGCGCTTTCTGGAGCGCCCCACATGGCCACGAGAACGTGGGTCAAGAGTATGGGCCCCTGCGCCAGATGTCCAAGGCCCCGTGGAGATGCCTAGCACGAAGAGCACTACAAGGTCGGAAGCCAGAGCAAGAAAAACACAAAAGCACACCGCCAACGCTAGAATGATAGAGTTATTCTTTAACTCCGTGTCAGCTGTGTAATTGAGGATGCAAGGCACCTAGAACGCGCCAAGATGCCAGGGTGTCCTTGAATCGAAGAGGCAGAGAACATGCAGATGATGCCCAGAATCGACAGGTGCAGGGGTACATTGCTTCAAAGGTTCATCCTTAGGGCCAAGTTTGACTTTCGCGATGAGGCCCACCCATCAACAAGCCTGCCCGAGCGGTGGGGGTGAAGGGTTGCCTGCCTGTTCCGCTCAAATCCAGATCCGCCAAGTCGGTGGCGCAGTCGAGAAGGCGGCTACACACCACCACAATTCCTGGCCAGGGGTGGTGAAAGTGTATAGCTGCCCTCTGCGACACGAATCGGTTGTGCAATCAGTCCGGCCGAGTCGAAGCCCAACCGAGAGAGCAGAATCGCACTTGGGGGCCGCGCAGTCAAGTCGATCGATGCAGTGCGCAGACAGAGGCGCGCGTAATCGAATCGACGTGGACAGCTTGTGGGGTGAACGGGGGGCAGCACTGGGCCTGTGCAGTGTGGCAACACTGGGCCTGGGCTGGGGGGCAGCCCCGGGCCTTGGCTGGGGGACACCGGGGGGCAATTGATGGAAATCAGGCAGCAGTGGCTCCGTGAAGCCCGACGGCTGGCAGAAGCACGCGTTGGGCGTTCGGACCCCTGCTACTACCTGTGTACCGCGTTTTCAATCCAACCCAGAATGCAAACAACGCTCGATCCCTTTCCGAGGGGATGGTGGCACTTCCATGCTAATGAGCGCAATCCAATCACTTGCCTGGTTAGTGCTCTATGATCGCGGGATAGCTCGTGTCGTTCAATCACAGCGGTAGCCGAGAAGGGCAAAACCATGTCGATCGAGTCGTCGTCCGACCTGCCCTGGAGTGAGTCCTGCCGATCCAGCCGTGGCCACGAGGACCACCGAAAAAATCGGAACGTCAACGAAAACAGCCGATAACCTCAGAATACGCAACCGTGCCGCTGGGCACGGAGTAGGCGTGTTCTCACAGGTCCTTCGCCCAATTCCCTGGGCCTCAGTCCTCAGTTCTGAGGAGTCAGTCGGGGGCCCGGACCCAAATTTCCGAAATCTCTTGGGGCTTCCTGCGTGCCCCCTGGGCTCCCCCGCATCTTTTCGCGTGACTTTTTCGGGTCCAAGGGGGCCCCAAGACGGACCAAGAGAGCCTCAAGAAACCCCTCAAGACGGTCCAAGAGGGCCCCGAGTCGCCGAAAGATCGCCCAAGACGCGCAAGATGGCCCCAAGACGGCCCAAGAGGCCCCCAAGACACAACAAGAGGCCTCGAAGAGACCTCCCAAGAAGGCCCCAAGAAGCCCAAATCATTGATTTCGCTGCGATGTTTGGCATTCTCGTCGTTTCGGCTTCCCGACGCTCCACGACGGCCCAAGAGGGTCCCCCAAGACGGCCTAAGAGCGCCCCAAGACGGCCCAAGAGGCGCCTACGACGGCCCAAGATGACCCTAAGACGGCCCCAAAACGGGGCTAAGAGAGGGAACATCAACCGAAAATCCGAGCCTTCCGCCCCAAGAAGCCCCAGGAAGCCCAGAGAGGCGTCTAGGAGGCCCCAAGAGGCCCCCACACGAGGCCCCCAAGAAACCCCAAGACACTCCCAAGAGGCCCACAAGAGGCCCCAAGAGGTCCCAAAACGGCTCCAAAAATGCTTGCAAACTGCCTCCAAGAGGCCCCCGAGGGGCCTCTCACGAGATTCCAACGAACATCCAGTAGGCTTCAAACCCGCAGCTTGGGCACGGTGGAGGGATGGGCCGACGGCCATCAGATACCGACGACGACGACGACGACGACGACGACGACGACGACGACGACGACGACGACGACGAGGACGGCCTCCGAGGGCCGCCGATGGCCTCCGGAGGACCTCCGCAGGGCCTCCGGAGGGCCTCCGCGGAGGCCCCCCGAAGGCCCCCCTTGCAGCGCGCTGGGCGGCCCGAGGCGCGGGCGCTGCGGGCTCGCCAGCAGCTCGCCGGCCAGCTCCTCGAGGCCCGAGCCGCCCGCGGGCCTGGCGGCCGCCTGCGAGTGACTGGCCCCGGGGGGGGAAGTCTTCCTCCTCCTCCTCCTCTCCTCCTCCTCATCCTCCTCGTCCTCCTCCTACTCCCTGCCTCCTCCTCTCCTCCTCCCTCCTCCTCTCCTCCTCCTACTCCTCCTCCCTCCTCCCTCCCCCTCCCCTCCCCCTCCCCTCCCCCTCCTCCTCCTCCTCATCCTCCCTCCTCCTCCTCCTCGTCCTCCCCTCCTCCTCCTCCTCCGCCTCCTCCTCCTCCTCCTCTCTCCTCCTCCTCCTCCTCCTCCTCCTCCTCCTCCTCCTCCTCCTCCGCCTCCTCCTCCTCCTCCTCCTCCTCCTCCTCCTCCTCCTCCTCCTCCTCCTCCTCCTCCTCCTCCCTCCCCCTCCTCTCCCTCCTCCTCCTGCTCTCCCTCTCCCTCCTCCTGCGCACGCAGTAGGCGCTCATGAGATCCCCACGAGCACCAACAGAGCAAAACGCCTCTGGCAGCCCGGCACCCCCTATCGGGGGGCCAGACGAGGAGAACAAAACCCCGGGAGAGCACCCATCAGGACGACCTTTTTGTCACCCCCGACTGGGGGCGCTATCCAGTCGAGGGGCCAGCGGCAGAGTGCTCTTTCCGAGGGCGGCCTCCTCCTCCTCCTCCTCCTCCTCCTCCTCCTCCTCCTCCTCCTCCCTCCCCCTCCTCTCCCTCCTCCTCCTGCTCTCCCTCTCCCTCCTCCTGCGCACGCAGTAGGCGCTCATGAGATCCCCACGAGCACCAACAGAGCAAAACGCCTCTGGCAGCCCGGCACCCCCTATCGGGGGGCCAGACGAGGAGAACAAAACCCCGGGAGAGCACCCATCAGGACGACCTTTTTGTCACCCCCGACTGGGGGCGCTATCCAGTCGAGGGGCCAGCGGCAGAGTGCTCTTTCCGAGGGCGGCCTGGGTCCAAGCCCTGACCGCTTCTTTCCAGACTGGCAGGGTTCCAAGCTTCGGTGAGAAGGATCCACTCCTTCCCTTGCTTGTACCTGCCCTGCTCAAGGCCTCGCAAAACTCGGTTGCCCCAGACAGAGGGCACTGGCGGACACGGATCTCGAAACTGTTTCGAAATTGTAACTCCGCCAGCACCGCAATGGGCACACACCACCCCCCGCCTCCCCCCCGCGAGAGTAAAGGGAAAGGCTCTGTGAGTGGCGTGACCCTATTCCTCAAGACCGCGATCGCAACATCGGCTCGACTTTCAACCGACGAGACCACGGGAGGGGGAGGAATTACTTGCAACCTGGACACATCAGACTTGGGCTTCTTGACACGCTTGGACACAGGAGCGTGCTGACAGTCCAGATCGGCCATGGGGGGCCCGCACACGCCAACCCAGCGGGCCAAGGCACAGACAACTTTAAACTGACTTTTGAACAGATCTCGATAATGCTGAGAGACTCTGCTGTATTCCGCAGCTTGCTTGGCATAATTATCAGCCAACGCGTTACCAGTCTGAGCCCTGGCCGAGAGACGACCAGAGGTGACATCAGAACGAGTGGTGTGCGCCTTAACTTTGTTAAGGCGCAGTGCATCGAGACCACCTCTGTCATCGATGGCATGCCAGAAAAGCTTCCAGATGTCAGCCCACGCAGCTTTAGCCGAGCAGCAAAACTGCCGCCCCCGCTCCCAAACTCCCTGGAAGACAAAATTGGAGTCGGTCCAGAAGACGGCATCGGGAAGGGCCTGCCTAAGGCCCATGAAAAAAAACGCCCAAAGCTCACACGCGTCTATGTCGAAATGACCTGCTGGGAGCCCCCCCGCCGCCACCGCGCGCTTCGCTCGAGACATGGGGAGATTCGGATCGTCGTGCAACGAGGCGATGGCCCAGCCTATCGAGCGCGCAGTGGGCGGGAGCTCGGAATCGAAGAGGCTCCCGTCGAGAAAGCAATCTCCTCCGAGCTCGTCGGGGGTCCCAAAGAGCCAGAGTTCCTCAGGAGGAGTGGGTCGAGGAGGAGGAGGAGCAGGCAGCGGCACAAGCAACCTCTCGAGGAGGAGGTGAACGAGAGGGTTGCCTGCTGCTACCACCATGGCCTGCGTACACGCAGGCGGCTCCTGCTCTAACTCGAGCATGTCCTGATGACCAGAGCATCCGACGTGCCTGTGCAAGAGGGTCCCTGGGCCTGAGGAGCAGACCTGACACTCTTGTCGAGACGACAAGCAGAGCTGATACTGCCTATCTTGCGGCCACTGGCCGCCCGAAACTACACTAACTACATAGGCCTTTTCGTGCGCCTTTAGCTTGGACATACCAGCCTTGATGGGAGCAAGAAAGGGGCCCTGCACAAACTCAGGCATCTGGAGGTGGTCGGCCACCTTGCTCCAGAGCCAGCTCTCGACAACGGTCTCAAGGGCAGTTTTAACTGTGCGGGGACACAAGGCCTCAACCGAGAAGACGCCCACGCTAGGATGCTGCCACTCGAGCCCGTTCATCTTGATACCGAGTCGCATTGCCGTGGCGACGGCGGCTGAAAAGGGGCCCCGAATGGCCTGCCAAGGAGAGCCGTGCTCTTGGAGTTTCTGCCACGCTCCTGCAAGGCCTTGCACCACCACCACCTCCTCCTCCTCCTCCTCCTCCTCCTCCTCCCCTTCTCCTCGTGCTGATTCTCGTCCACTTCCTCCTCCCTCCCCCTCCCTTTTCCCTCCTCTCCGACCCTTTCTGGGGTGAAGCCGCTGGGTAAGACCTCATGCGGATCAACCAATGGAGGGAGGTCCGCATTGGCAGAGGCGGCGGCGAACGCCTACGGACAGCGACGACGACGAACGATGCGACGCACGACGCTGGCGGCGGTGGCGGTGGGCGGGGTGAGAAGGCGGAGGGGGCGGGGCGGGCCTTCTCAGGAAGCCGAGAAAGCCCCCGGGCCTTCTGCGAAGCTCTCTGAACTCTCCGAGCCACGGGAGGGCCTCTCAGAAGGCCAGAGGGCCTCCGCGAGGCCCCGCCGCCCTCCGAGAACGGCCCGCCCCCTCGGCGTGCCGCCGAGCCTGTGCGAAGGCGGGCCCAGGGCCCCGGGCAAGAGCGGTCGGCGGGCCCGGGAGCGTGAGCCAGGTCGCCCACGGCTCACTGCCCCATGGAGAGGTCCAGGGCGAAGAGCATTCCAGGGTGGAGAGGCCAGACGTGATGAACAGAAGGGTGCCCCTCCAAAGCTGGCGTTGCTCTGCACCCGCGTGCCAGCGGTCGTCAGCATGGCTCGGAGGAGTCCCGCCAGGGACCAAACGTCAGCCCGATGCTGACCGAAGCTGCATCGGCGTGCTATGATGGTCTGGCTTGATTGTGTTCACTTGATTTCGGCGGGAGGTGGAATCGAGGATCGAGGGAGGAAGGGGGTGGGCAGAAGAAGGCGCATCTACATACACATGAACTTTCGGAGGACCGCGCGGAGTTCTCGGCGCTGGAACCCCCTGGCGGCGCCCCCGGCGCTGCCCCTAGCGCGCTTCGCGCGCCAAGGAAGGGGTTCCAGCGCCGATACGAGAAATCTGCGCGGCCCTCCAACATGGTAGTGTTTATGCAGCTTTTCTTCTTCAGCCACCTGCCGAAACGGGCCCTGCAGAAACACATGATGAAAGGAAAGGGCACGTGATCCCCCAGGGAACCTGCATGGGAAACGATACTGTTGCGCGCAACATGGCGCCACTTTGAAGCACTCCCAGGGAGGAGCGGGCAAAATCTGGCTGGACTTCAGGGTCGCAGCAGAATTAGAGCAATTGCGCGCCTGGCCGCTGAATCCGCCGAGGGGCGCAGCAAAATGACGACAGTTGCACGTCTGGCAGAACCCAGGGCGGATGATGCCTAGCGTATGACGTGACTCCTTTGGATCCCCCATGGGTGGAGCAATTCGTCAGTCAATGGGGGCGTTTCCAGGAGTGGGAAAACGTTCTTTTCGGGACTCATTGAGATGGGATTTGGAACAGAAGGGTGTATTGCAGCATCGTTGATACATCTTGCTCTTCCTCCTCCACCTCCTCCTCCTCCTCCCGCACATGCTACGAGTTGCGGTCCTCCCCAAGCGAGAGGTGACAGACCGACCCTTCAACCCCGCAGGGCTGCCTAGAAATGGTTTGCCCACTCGCAGACCTGCTTGGTCAATGATCCTCCTCCTTCTCCCTCCGTCCCCTCTTCTTGCGCCTCCACCACATCCTTCCATGCAGGGGATCTGTTCCGCCGGCAGAGCCGCCCACATTTTGCTTGAGCTGGCGGCCGCCAGCCCAGAAAGGTCGCGAGATTGACCAGGAGTGCCCCAGAAGGTTTCTGGAACGCCCTAGTCGAAACGCAGTGGCGATGCTTTTTTGATGGTGGCAATGATAAAACAATATTCTAATGATAACAGTAGTAGTGATGTTGTTGACGATGATGATGATGATGCTGATGCTGATGATGATGATGCTGGTGCTGATGATGATGATGATGATGACGATGATGGTGATGATAATGATGATGGTGATGATGATGATGATGATGATGATGATGATGATGCTGGTCATCATCATGATGATGCTGCTGATGATGGTGATGATGACGATGCTGGCGAGGATGATGTTGTTGATGAGCATGAAGAGTATGATGATGATAAACATGATGATGACGATGTTGTTGACGATGATGATACTGATGATGATGATGATGATGATGATGATGATGATGATGATGATGATGATGATGATGATGGTGGTGGTGGTGGTGGTGGTGATGGTGATGTTGTCCACCGCACATGTTTGGGAGAAGAAGGAGGGCCATGAGAGAGGGGACGATCGCGCAATACCAATACGTACACGGCCGCCATCGGCAGAAAGAACTGGCCGGTCCCCCGCTCTGCGTCCCCGAGTCATCCCACCTGGACTCTAGACTGACAGCCGCAGAGGAAGAGGAGGGCCAGGATGAGGAGGAGGAGGAGGAGGAGGAGGAGGAGGAGGAGGACACGCAGGAGCGACGAAGTGTCTGGACGTGCCCTCGCGCAGCCGGGGAAGGACCGAGCGCCGCGGCGCCGCCTGGAGCGCGACGTGCGCGCCCTCGTTGCCGCGCTTCGGCCGGCGACGGCTCCGGGCGGCACCAGCCAGCAGCAGCCCCGCGGCCGCCGCCGTGCCTACGAGTGGGGGGGGGCCAGACATTTTCAGGGTTGCCCCAAGAAGGTCCTCCTCCTCCTCCTCCTCCTCCTTCTCCTCCTCCTCCTCCTCCAGGAGGAGGAAGAGGAGGGGGGAGGAAGAGGAGGAAGAGGAGGAGGAAAGATGAGGACCAGTGTAAACCCAAGACTCTCCAGCGGTTGCCCCAAGAAGGTCCTCCTCCTCCTCCTCCTCCTCCTCCTCCTCCTCCTCCTCCTCCTCCTTACACCCCGCCGCTCCTCCAGCCCGGCCGCGGATCGCCTCTCCAAGCCTCGAGCGTCCTCAGAAAATCAGGCCGGAGATGCTGCACCCCTTACTGCTTCCAGGAACCGCTGTCGGGCCCCGGGGGGCATCTCAAAACGATCTGGTACGAAGAACCGGTCCCCTGGAAGGTGTCGAGATGTCGAGGACCACGCATTGAACAAATAGCGATATGGGCAATCTGGGTCCCCCGTCGCCACTCCTCCCCTCTTCCGACGTGGGTAGCTTTGTGACGTGGGCCCCTCGGGCTCTCGACCCCTTCCCCTGGGCCAGTTTCTCATCCCAGGTCGCTGAACGGGCCCCGTCGATGCACAAATTGAGGAAAGACCTGGCCGTCACGAGCTCTTCGTGACACTGGATCTGAAGGCCCCCTTCCCCCCCCCCTCTGGCACCCCGTTGCCGCCGCCGTCGTCGTCGTCGTCGTCGTCGTCGTCGTCGTCGTCGTCGTCGTCGTCCCTAGTTCCGGCTCGAAGGCCTGGCAAGCCAGCCTCGGGCTGGGACTAGCGCCGGAGGTGATGCCCGCGGCCGCGATGGCGCTGCCAGCTGGGGGCACCTGGTGCCATAGCTGCGGAAGCGCAGTCTGGGCGCTCGCGGCGGACGGCGGGGGCCTGCACGCAGACGAGGACGGCACCTGGGTCCAGGTGACGAAGGGCCGCGGAGTGGCACGTGCAGGCGCAGACGTCAAGCAGAACGGACCCAGCTTGGAGGGCGGCAACTCGTTGGACGCGCTGGAGGGCGGGCGGGAGGAGAACGATCACCAGGAGGAGACCATTGCTGAGGCGGCCGCTGGCCGCGGGCCGCTGGCCGCGGGCGCAGGCAGAGAAGAACGCAGCCAAGAAGAAGCTCGCCGAGAAGGCCTCGGGCAGCGAGCACGCGCTCCTGGCGGAGGCCACGGCGCTGGCGGCGGCTGAGGCCGAAGCCAGGAACGATGAGGCGGAGGGGAGCGGCGACAGCAGCTCCGGCTTCGAGGGAGAGGACAGCGCCCTGGAGAGCGTGGAGGGTGGCGACGGCTCGGACGAGGAGTCCCGGGCCGAGGACGAGGTGCTCTGGGACCTGTGCAACGGCTGGGCGCAGATCCTGGACATCGATGCGGAGGACTTCGTCGACGCTGCCGACGACTCCCTGCGTGAGGCGGCCCGCGCCAAGGTGGAGCTGGCATGGAGGCAGGGCGTCGAGCTGGGCGATGACCCGGACGACCTGCTGGCCTCCTTCGGGCAGGAGGGCGTGGAGCGCAAGGAGGACGGCCTCAAGGAGCAGACCACGGAGGGCGGAGCTCCTTATGGGGAAGCAGAAAAAAAACGACGGCTTCGGCGAGCTGGCCACGGAGGGCCAGGAGGCTCCCGAGGAGGCCCGAAGGCGGGAGGTTCGGGGTTGACATTCGAACCCCCCCGCGCGTCGTGCGGTGCCTCCGCCCCGAGCTCACTCTCGGCGCACGGATGGGGTCAGACACCAGCGCGGGCTGGTTGAACTCCGAGCGGCGCGTGCGGAGCGGTCACGCGCGTTGCTCGGCCGCGGAGGAGCGAGCCTCGACTCCAGTGGCGAGGCTGAGACCGGTGGAAAGCCGTCGTCGTCGCCCCCCTCGTCGTTGTCATCATCTTAGTCGTCGTCGCCCACGTCGTCGTCGACCTCGTCCTCGTAAAGGATGCCGTCTTCATTGGCGTCGTCGTCGGCGGGCTGATCGTCGTCGTCGTCGTCAGCGTGGCGGTCGTCGTCGTCGTCGTCGCCGTCGCCGTCGCCGTCGCCGCCGTGCGGCCATCATCCACTCAAAAATCAGCTCACCGATCCCTCATGGGGTCCTTCGTGACCAATGTCTCGAGCCGAGCGCAGCCGTGGCGACGAGAACCCGAAGATCTGTCCGAAAACCTCCAGACCGACGACGACGTCGTCGCCGCCGTTGTCGCCGTGCGGCCATAATTGAGTCTACTTTGGCAAAAAGTCCGGACCGCGTACAGCCGCGGTGACAAGAACTATCAGAGATGCGCAGAACCTCCGAAACGGCGCCGACGAAGAACGACGACGACGACGACGACGACGACGACGACGGCATCCACGGCAACGAAAAACCTCCACAACGACGACGACGATGACAGCAACGCAAAGATAACGGTGCCGACCGACGACGACGACGACGACGACGACGACGAGGACGAGGACGAGGACGAGGACGACGGCGACGGCGACGACTGCGACGACGGCGACGACGACGACGACGACGTTTCGACGTCGCCGCCCTCGTCGCCGACATCTTCGTGGCCGCCGTCGGCGCCGCCGCCGGCGCCGCATCGCCGTCGGCGCCCGTGGCGCCGTCGTTGTCGTTGGCGCCCTGGCCTGCGCACTCGGCGGCTCGAGCCGCCCCAGCCGCGGCGGCGGCTGGGGACGCGGCCCCTGCAGAGGGGGCGGCCCCGCGCAGGCTGGCGGCGGTCCTAGGCCGGGACAGTACGGACGGACGCAGGACGCTGCCGACGGTGCGCTGGCCACGGCGACGGCGCCGGCGGCGACGACGGCGGCAACGACGACGGCGTCGGCGGCGGCGGCTACCACGACGCCGGCGGTGACGACGACCACGGCGACGACGGCGACGACGGCGACGGCTGCCACGACACCGCCGACGACGACGGCGGGCTTGGTCGGGACACGCCGGCCGGATGGCCCCTGGGCAGTAAAAGAAAGGGTGGAGCGCTGCAGGGGTTCACTGAGCCAGTCGGAGCAAAAGTGACAAGAGCTACAGCGGATGTTTATCCGTGCGCTCAACTACTGGAGGATTTCCAATCCTTGAGACATGCCGTGCCTCTACAGGTGGGCAGGGGGTACCTGCAAGCCATGTCTCTTGGCGACCTGAACGGGAGCAGGATTCCCAAGGAGCCTGGTCGCCAGGGATACCCCCCCGAATGGAAGCGGATTGGGACGGGCCTACTTGTTCCCACATGGGCTTGAGCGACAGCGAGGTCAGCCTGCGTAGCCCTTGTGGGGCCGCCCTGGCATGCAAGGCAATCGATGCCGCACCGGCCCCAGAAACAGGAATACACATACTTGCATGCAGCCTGTTGCCATGCGTCGTCATGAAGAGCTACTTGCGGATAATCGCCGCGAATGTGCATGCATGACAGCAGCCGACCGTATTCTCGGGCGGTCTCGTCCTCGCCAACCATGGCAGGTCAACCTTCCTGTTCGGAAGACATGCGAGCACAGTATCTTCGCGTCAGAACTCCCCCGAGCCTGTCAAACCCTAGAAATCCATTGCAAAACAAAGACGAACTCACATACACTGTCAGGACCCATGCACATCATGACATTGTGGTAGCGCGACATGTTGCGCACATCCTCGTTGCACGTGAAATTATTGAACGTGGAATGCCATATATATATATATATATATATATGCATATACATATATACACACAAGACTGCATTAGCGCTTCGCGCCATGCACCTTGTTCCTTGTGGTTTCCAGTGCAGGCGGCGTGCGTGCGCGTGGGCATGGGGCGGGCCACCGCCAAGTCGGAATGGGTTCCGAGTTTCTAAGCGAGAGCGACCGGACAACACCAGCTGAGGCCAGCTCACGGCGTTTCGGGGCCCAGAGGCGCGAATATGTCTCAGGCGAGTGGTTGTGCTAGCATGAAGCAGGGCATCCTCCTCCTTCTCATTCTCCTCCTCCTCCTCCTCCTCCTCCTTTTCCTCCGCCTCTTTCTCTCGCTTCATCCTCATCCTCTTTCTCCTCTCTCCCCCTCGTCCTCTAATTCCTCGTCCTTCTCCTCCTCCTCCTCCTGCTCCTCCTTCTCCTCCTCCTTCTCCTCTACACAGGCTGACCCTAGGGGGCCCAGATATTCGAAAATCAATTTGAAAAACCATTGGAAAAGCAATACTTTCGGCCTTCTCGCATTTGCGCTTCCGATCGGCCCGAGGGGCATCAAGATAGCCCCAGGATGGCTCCAGAGAGGCGCAAGCTGAGGCCCACAGAGGCCCAAGGCTGGCCGAAGAAGGACCAAACATTTGAAAGTCAATGAAAATCAATGGAAAAACAATTTTCTCGGCCTTCACGCTTTTTACTTCCGGTCGGCTCGGGAGGCGTCAAGATAGCTTCAGGATGGCTCCAAATGAGTCCCCAGACGAGCCCCAAAGAGGCTCAGGGCTGGCCCAAGAAGGCCCCCACAATAGAACATCAATGAAAATCATGGGAAATCCTTCTCGCATTTCGCTTACCATCGGCTCTTCAGGCGTCAAGATAGCCCCAGGACGGCTCCAAATGAGTCCCCAAACGAGCCTCAAAGAAGCCCAAAGCTGGCCCAACAGGGCCTGGAGAGTCGGAAATCAGAGAACACCCATTGGAAAAGCAATGTTCTCGGCCTTCTCGCTTTTTCGCTTCCGGTCGGCTCGAGAGGCGTCAAGATAGCCCCAGGATGGCCTCAGAGAGGCGCAAGCCGAGGCCCACAGAGGCCCAAGGCTGGCCGAAGAGGGCCCAACGAATGAAGAATTTGTGAAAATCCATGGGGAAATCAGTGTATTTAGCCTTCTCGCCTTGTCGCTTCCGATTGGCTCTTGAGGCATCAAAATAAGTCCAGGACGGCTCCAAAGGCGTCCCCAGACGAGCCCCAAAGAGGGCACAGACTGGCCCTAGAGGGCCCGGAGGTTCGAAAATCAATTTAAAAACCATTGGACAAAAACAATGTTTTCGGTCTTCTCGCCTTTTCGCTTCCGATCGGCTCGGGGGGCGTCAAGGCTGGCG